TTAAGTAACCCTTGGCAGAACCCAGTAGGGGGCACAATAAAACGAGTGGTATCCTATTAAAATTGACATGTGGAGTGTAAAATATTTTTTTTCATGATGATCAAGTCATAAGCTTTCCAGGGATATAATTATAGTTTGTCTAAGTTTTCAATTAAATCCTAACCATGAAAAATGGTTGGAAAATGGGCATTTTTTCAGGTTTACCCCTGCCTTAAGATTGCAAGAATGCGTGATCACCAAATAAGAAAGCTCTCAAAGGTTAAAAGACTCCTCGTCAGCATCCTAAGAAAGGCAGAGAACAATACAAAGAATATGCATACTGATGTCAGGTGGTAAGGGGTTAGGGGAAAAGCTGACAGAGCTCTCATATTTAATCACAGGTAGCCCAAGCTCTGCCCCAGGCTCTTTCACAGTGGATTATTAGAGAGTTTGTATAGTGCTTTAGTTGCACTAGCTTTTCAGCTCCATAAATGTAAAGTTGTGTGAAATAATCAAAGAAATAAAGTCTTACCTTTATAGAGAGTAGTCTGTGTTGTTCTCCTCGCGATTTGTGGCCATTTTGATGCGTTTTAGCTTGACGCCCTAATCGCCACGGAGTCACCGTGCACAAGATACAGTATCTTGTGCACGGTGACTCCGTGGTGATTAGGGCGTCAAGCTAAAACGCATCAAAATGGCCACAAATCGCGAGGAGAACAACACAGACTACTTTCTATGAAGGTAAGACTTATTTTATTTCTTTGATTATTTCACGCAACTTTACATTTACGGAGCTGAAAAGCAAGTCCAACTAAACCACTATACAAACTCTTTAATAGTCCACTGTGAAAGAGCCTGTGGCAGAGCTTGGGCCACCTGTGATTTAATTTGAGAGAAGTGACACTTATTTATAACGAGCGAGAAACATGCTTGATTAGTGTTAGGCAGTATAGCCTATAGCAGACTTTTCTTCAGTCGAAACAAGCAGGAAAAGTGGACGGGGTCGGGCTAAAAAGGAATGTGCAGTCGTTTCCCTGCCAACAACGATTGCTGTGCGTCGTTAGCCCGCTCTCTCACACACCTCCGCGGTCGAGGGCCTCGAGAAAGCTAAAGAGATAGTACAGATGCTGCTTTGGAAAATGGTGGAAAAGTTATTTGATGTTCACTTTCGGCAACCTATAAATCAGGCTACCTCTTGTTTTCTCTTTTACCTTTCTTGTCCTTCTGACGGACATTGCTTCTGTTGCAGAAGTAGTATTGTTTGATCTGTCTCGGTAGATGCCACTAACACTACATCTAGTTATAAGTGAATGGTGTTGTGCAAAACATCACTTCAAAAAAATGGCCTTTAGAGAATCCGGGCAAGGTTAAAAGTTCAACTTTGAATCATTGAGAACATCCCAACAATAATAACAAAACCAACTCTCCACGGTAGTTTGTGTGCTCTCTCCTTGTCTTAGCAAAAAGAAGGAAAACAGCTGTCGAGGGGCTCTTTCCGTCTCCATTCTTTCTTTGTTTTTAAACTGTGTCTTCTCAGGGCTATTTCGAAAACAAAGAAAGGAAAGAAAAATTGAGCGAACAAATGAGAAATGAACTAAAAATCAAATGGGAATCTCATTTAGCCTTCCACCCATATATGGCATTCCTAGCCATATTAGGAATGAGAGGTTTCTGCATGTTCCGGGAAGCGTGGTAGCCTCGAGGAGTGCACGCTGTCTTCTTCGCTTTTCTTTTGTTTTCTTTCCGTTTTTATAACTCTACTGCTCAAGAATTGCCAATAGGAAGGTGATACTTCAACCAATCCATTCCGAATCATCAACGCTGCGAGTGCTAGCGCAACTCTGCTGAATTTATACGTGGCAGTCCCCCATTGAAATCGGACAGATCATGGAAACCGCAGGCGATAGTGACCTAACCGGGGAAAAACATAACGAAGCACGGTAAGACGTATATTTTTATCCATCGAATTTATCAGTTGTGGCGATTAATTTCTTTCAAATCTGTATTTATTTGTTGATACTGACGGCTGGCTTTAAACAATAGCGTGAAAGCTGTCGAATCGGTCTCAAAAGGAATAGACGGACGATCCATTACTATTTTATAACTATTCACCAAAATGGAGCCGTACAGAATTAAGCGGATGATTATTAAGCTGTTTAATGCGTAAATGCTCTGCCGTGTTGGTGTGATACATCCACAACACAGTGTGGGCGATCAAATATCTCAATCTTAGTCAGAAATCACTTGTTCTGCCATGCATCTACGTGTATCGGAATTTGTCGATCTTATGGATTAAATGTGGACTTAATTTGTAATTCGTGGACATTTTTATTGTGAGCAATGATTGTTTGATATTTGACGTTACTTTGGCGACAATTTTGTCTGATATTCTTATGGATGGTTCTTATGTCATCTTTTTATACGGTACAATGGTTCACTGGATATACTCCTTACTTCCTTGGAGTTATAATTTTACAAAGAGTTCACCTCCTACACGTGCCGTATTCGAGTGTGTTGGAGATAACTTTGTCGCTCAAAATTATAATGAAAACATGATGATATGGTTATTGAATTTTATCTTTATTTCGAGGCAGAAGGTTTTAATCAGTCGTTGATAAACGAAGAAGGAATAAACCAAAATACAGTTGGACTTGTCTAGAAATAATATTATGCCACTTCATGGGCACCCTTGCAAAGAGGAAAAATCGGCCATATCGGATTTAGGATTTGATTGGCTTCATCGATTACCAGTTTTCATCTTGCTCTTGTTTGGGTAAGATAAGTTTATACTTTCAAGCTGCATATGTTGTTTGGAGGGAAAATTTCGAATAGTTTAGCAATAACCTTTTAGTGGACAAGCCTCAACAGTCCTCTCCTAGGCCTAATTAAAGAGTTGTAGAAATTGTCCAGTTGAACGTTTTCAGGATTCCTTTTTTTCCTTTTATACTAGGGTGAGATCAAACTTTTATTTACAGTACAGGTAAAGAAATAAAATGTATGGCTTGTGACATCTCGCAAATAATTGTATTTCTGTTAGGTCATCTGTTCAAGACAAGTCATCAGGTACCCAACTTCCTTTACTTTTAGTCTATTTTTCATTGTTCTCAGTACAAGGGGGCACTCTCCTTGCCAATAATGGCTTGCAAAGTCCAAATTCGTACTGTCTGATATATCCACTATAGCCTGCAGAGCAGGCGTTCTTGTGGAGTTTGGGCGGAAATTAGGACTTTGGGCTTTCTGTCTTATTTTCTAGACTGCATGTAAAATGGAGTGATGCGAACAATTAGAAGGTGGGGGGAGGGGGAGAGGTTAGGGCTAGGGAAAGGAATGCCTGCCAGCAGTACTTAGAAATTTGAATAACCCGTTCGCTCACGAACAGGCGATTCTGATTGGTCCAGTATTTTTTATTGACAGCAGAATGTGACGTCAGTTTGTTATGTATCACATCCAATATGGCGTTTAGCGAAGAAGAGATAGATCTTGCGTTGAACGATTCTTTAGCTACTTTTGATGTCTTAGAAAACTTTGTTTTAAAACAAGAACAGCAAGATGCCAAACATCAACTTTCCAGAAATAAAGATGTGTTGGTGGTCTTACCGACAGGCTTTGGTGAAAGCATTATTTTTAGATTTGGTGTGCGAGTCAAGCAGCTTCTCACAAAGAAACACTGTTGCATGGTTGTTGTTTGCCCTCTGAAAAACATCGTTGACAACCAGGTTGTCGAGGCCAAAGAAATTGGCTTAAAAGCAACAAGTCTTTCGGACAGTGTCCTAGTAGAAGAACTTGCTAAGTTTGACTTGTTCTTTCGGTGTAGGTGGTTTGCACATACAAGCGGCTTTATTCTTCCTCCATGCCGGGCTAGATTTGTTTGGCGTATCTAATTGTCGCTTATTTGTACTTTTGGCTTTTCTGGATTTTTGCATTGGCTATTTGCATTCTTAAAGTGCACCTAAACCCTAAATTTTTTTTTTCGCTTAACGAAATAAGCTTATTTTTTGGAGTATTTCTGTGCAAAAATTTTTAATTTGCTCAAATCTTTAATTTTCTATGCCCAGTCAAAATACGGAAAATCGGCCGCCATCTTGCCCCACGACCGAGTTTAAAGAAGAATGGCTCTAGCGGGTAATGTGACGTCAAATCGAGAACACGAAAGTCTGCATCTCACACATTTTCATTTGTTTGGGAAGATTGTCATCGATATTGTCCGAAATATGCCGACTAGGTGTGTTGTATGAAGAATGTATGAAGCGCGATACCCTCTTGCAAATTTCGCACATTGCTACATCCTTCTACAACACACTTAGTCGGCATATTTTCGGACAATTATCGACTACTACCTTCCCAAACAAGTGAAAATGTGTGAAATGCAGACTTTCGTGTTCTCGATTTGACGTCACATTACCCACTAGAGCCATTCCTCTTTAAACTCGGTCGTGGGGCAAAATGGCGGCCGATTTTCCGTATTTTGACTGGGCATAGAAAATTGAAGATTTGAGCAAATAAAAAAAATTTTGCGCAGAAAAACTCAAAAAAATAAGCTTACTTCGTTAAGCGAAAAAAATTTTTTGGGTGTAGGTGCACTTTAAGGATGATTACATGTAGCTGTCCCAAGTTTCTGACTTTCCTGGCACACGGATTGCAACAGCGATCAGATAACTGTTTGTTGTTTTGAATGAGTTCGATGCCAATTCCAGCACACACATCTGATAAAATTACTCCATAAGCATAACTTCTCTTCGATGCTCTGAATAAATTTTCTGATGACAGGTATGAGCCGTATTTAACTCTAAAACTACAGCCGCAAAATCGACAATTCTCGTTCGGCGACATGTGAACACAAATTTTGACACGTGACTTCCTTTCGAAAAATAACAAATTTTGACAAGCAACGGAAGTGAAAATCCACTTCCGTCGCACCACCTGATTGGCCAATTGTTTGCGCATTATCATTACTCATGCATATCTAATTAGGGGGTGTTTTTCAAATTTTCAAGTGCTGCTGGCAGGCGTTCCCTTCTCTCCTCTCCCCCTCCCCCCGCCTCCTAATTTTTCTCCTCACTCCATTTTATGCGCGGTGTGGGAAATAAAACAGAAAGCCCAAAGTCCTAATTTTCGCCCAAACTCCACAAGAACACCTGCTCTGCAGGCTATACCCACTACTGATCCCAACTTTCAGTTTGTAAGTGGTAGTTAGAAATTTGCAATGATTTGAGTTTGCTTTGGTTTGTTGATTAGGCTATTCACCTATTGACACCCTAGAGTGACTGACAACTGATTCGTCCTGACGATATCACTCCTAGATCAGATATTAAAGTCACTAGAATAAAGGAAATGATCGTCAACTAAAGAAGTTGTTGAGTGTTGATAAAATTCTGCTTGTCAGCATTTAATCAGTAATCCTTTGATACAATGAAAGAGCAAAATGTGCTGTGCCTAATAAATCCTTGAAGGGATTGACATGTAGCTTCTCTCCATACATAATCTAGGAAACAGGTAATGAAAACTTATCAGGTAGAAGTTTTCATTTTGACCTAACACCTGTAACTAGTTTTACAAGGAAATGTGTGGCAGCTAAGTACAGAATGGAGGATTGACAGTTAGATCTTGGGAGTGAAAAATTTAAGTGTGTATGGTGTTCTGACCTTCACAGCATTGTGTTCCAAGTAATTCAGAAGAATAGAAAGGTTTCACTGTATCTTTTCAGCAGAAAAAAAGATCACACCTTAACAGACGAAATTTGAATGCGTAGGTGCACATACATCTACATCAATCACTATTTATTTTTCTCTTTTAGCTGAAAATAGTCCATCTGCTAGTCCAAATAAACCTGAACAAAAGCCTGAGCAGAAGAAGGTAAAACAAAAATTTGAGAATATTTAGATGCTATGCACCTTACATGTACATGTATACAGAAAAACCAAACATGATTATGTAGAAGGAATCAATCAAACAAACAGAAAGGAGGACCAAGGCCAAGGTTTTTAAAGTACTGTGCCACTTTACTCAACTTGCCAAAAATGGGATTCACCAGGATGAAATTGGTTACAAAGCTAATTCTTAAGCTTTTGAGAGTGCAAGTTAGGATATTTTGAAAGTCAGACTATTTTGAACAATTTGTGAGGAAAACAGCAGCCTTTCACTATAATTGTTACTATTGCTGTTACTTATTCGTGTAATTTTGTCCATTTGAGTATTTATTTTTTTTTTTTTGTACAGCTTATGACATGGTCATGAATTGAAAAGATTACATGTGTTTAGTCAGTTGTTACTAAGGGCCTACATTGTACATGTGTCTTAAGAATCAGGCATAGAGCTGTACTGCTTTCGAGTCTTTTGTATCAAATTCTAACACCATTGTTTGGATTTTTGAAACTTTAGACTATATTTTCAAAAGGAAAGAAAAGAAAGAAGACTGATAAGGACTTAAATGCACCTAAAGCCCCTCTGACAGGTTATGTCAGGTTTCTGAATGAGCATCGAGAGAAAGTCAGGGCTGAGAATCAGAATCTTCCTTTTCATGAAGTCACGAAGATTCTTGGAAATATGTGGAGCCAGCTACCTTCTCAGCAAAAACAGGTACACTGAGCCATTTTGTTGTCAGTAGCATAAAGGCAGACTTTGTCATTGTTATAACATTACTAGGTTGCAATGGACTTTCTAATTGCACTACTCAACATGTGCTCCCAGTTGGCTTGTTAGCTTAGTTGGTAGAACACAGCACTGGTATTGCAGAGATCATGGGTTCAAATCCCATACAGGCCTTATTTCCACTACTGCTCAAGTAGTGTTATTACTGCAAGGATTGCTTTGATAAATAAAAAATAGATATTTATTTCTTAACCCGCAGTTCACATAATTATATGATTTTTTTAAAAGATAGGTAGGTAGAAAGATAGATATAGCTTTATTAAAAATCACATGGCAGCCTAATAAGGCTGAATTGCATGATTATTTACGATACAATACTGGCTAAAATTATCAGTTATATTTACAGAGCATATTATTTACAAGAATAATACTCGAACCTATTGTCTACACATGGTTGGTAAATATATGACTGGGAGAAAATTATGCTTGGTGAGCATTATTGGGTTACCAAACTGATGTTGATTTCTAAGATTACGAGTAATATGGTTCTTTTGTGGAAAAAATTATGAAGTTTGTGCTCGGGATTGGACACTATTGGTTCGAAAAATTTATTACATTGTTCGAGATGTCTAGTCTTCAGTGAGTTCAGGTTGAACAATGAAAGGTTTTTGAGATATGATAGGCCAGGTGAAATTACAGATTGGGTGCATTTTTAAACATGTTCTGTGTCATTGCTTATTTATAAATAATCAGGCAGTGCATGATGGTAAAGAGGAGCACAATAATTGAGTACAGGTCTAGTACAAATCAGATAGAAACTGATGATATCATGAGCTGGAGCATAGGCACGCTGAAGCAATATGAGAAAAGACATCTGCTTATTAGCCTTTTTTAGTACATCAGAAATATGGCAATTCCATTGTAGGGTGCTAGCTATTATTGTGCCTAACACTTTAACACTGTTTACACATTCAAGTTCCTTAGAGTTGACAGTAATCGCATCAAACTGGTGCTCTGTTCTTTTAATTAAAGTCAATCAGCAGTTCTTTACACTTGTCTGGGTTCAGCTGAAGCTTGTTTGTGATAGACCATTGCTCCACAGCTGTAACAGCAACTTGCATTGTGACTCGCACCATCATCTATTTCCTGACATGTATACAGTTTTTGTTGGTCTACATGTAGTGCCCATGATTTTGTACAATTATCATAAGAATTTTCTTTTCATGTTGGCAACCTACAATTAAACTGGAACTTTTGTCTCATGCGGTTTCTTCATTTATTGTAGAAGATACACTGGTAAATACTTTCTTCTTAAAGATGTCCTTAAAGTCACTGCTCATCTACATCCCAGAGGATAGAAGAATCCATGCAAAGGATATTTCCAATAGACTAGCTTCTGTCTAGTTTCTGCATAATGCAAAATCCACCCACAATGGTTTTGACTTGTGTTGTTTTTGCTACATCTTTGCAGGCCTATTTAGAAGAGGCCGAGAAAGATAAAGAACGTTACATGAAGGAACTAGAAGTATGTCAACAGACTGATGCATACAAGAACTTTGTGGCCAGGCAAAAGGCAATGAAAAAAGGTACAGCTGCATTTGTTAAATGACCATGATCCATTTTTACTGTTAAGCACTTGACACACTTGTACATGTACACACAAACAGTTGTTCAAAACCACCTTTGTGAACATGACTGACTTTTGGCACATAATCAGTTGAGCTTATTGCCTTAGTTAATAAACAGTGTGCAGTCAAAATGTTGTGATTCACTTAATACATTTAACTACTGTAGAAATGGTCGTATTTGTAAAATAGGGGATAATGCATGAATATCTTGTAGAGGTAGTGTCTAACATATTTTGGCCTTCCTTTTTTCAGGTGAACGAGATGTCAATGGTGCAGAGGTAAATAAACTAAAATATAAGCTTTCTGTACACTCATCCTTCTATATTTTGTACTTGCAATACCAACCTTTCTTAGCTATTGGTAGATTCATTGTCTTGAATTTCAATAATAATCGTGACGTTATATTATCTCCTTCTCTAGGGAAATGATGACTTGTTCTGCAGTGCTTGTAACTTATACTTCAATTCACCACACAACAAGCGTGAAAACATGTCTGGCAAGAAGCACTTGGCTGTAGTCTCTTCACAGATGGACAAATCTGAGAAGCATGAAGAAAAGACAAATGGCAGAGATTCATCTGACACAAAAAAAGTGGAAGAAACTTCTGATTCACAGCCACTACAAATTCCTTTAGATGGAGATATTCCAATATTTACAGATGAGTTTTTGAACTACAATAAAGGTAAGGCTCTGCCAAAAATGAAGCCAATCTGCTGCTATTGTGCCTTCTTTGTACATGTATATCATTTCCAAATATTCTCTGTACGCATGCACATGCCTGGTCCTGGTGTAAGAACCAGGATTGAATAACATTGGAAAAGCCACAGTAATGGATGGTAATAATTATGTAAATCTTACCCAGCCCACTGCATGGACTTCATACCCAAACTGTCCTAATACACAATTTGCATCTGATTTGCATCTGATTTGCAACATCTGGCTGGTAGAGGTACCAGTCCTTCCCTGTGGGAAGATAGCTCTCCCCATTCCTTTTTTTTTTTGTTTGTTTGTTTTTGTTTTTTTCAATCTGGAGACCATGGGTTTTCAATCAAGAACACTGTGAGGAATTTGGGAATGGTGGACTGTGCTTGTACTTGTACATTGTAAATACATGTATCTTATGTCTTTGCTCCATGCGCTTCCCCCCCTCCAGGAATATGCAGCTTATTTATTTCTATTGTTGTTTTTGTGTTCATTTCCAGCTCGGGAAAATGAACTGAGGAAACTGAGGAAAGTGAACACAGAGTTTGAAGAACAGAATGCCATTCTTAGTAAACACATAGAGAATATGAAGAAAGGCATAGACAAACTGGAAGGAGAGAGGAAAGAGCAACAAAATGAAATCAGTGCACTGCAGAGACACCTTGCCAGGTTGCGACAAATAATTTCCCGTAGTTTTGTTGATATTCAAATTCCAGGAGTGACAGATCCCTTAACGTCAGAGACAGTGGACTCATTTGTAGCAAAACTGCAACAATATATTCAAGAAAATAGTAAAGAAAACTTGGAGTTAACATCCAGAATAAAAGACATTATAGCCTCTCTGGACTACCCCAAGTAAGTGAAAATCATTCTTATGTCTTCTGTTTTGCAAGGTACAATATATATGTACAATCTTTGAGAGCCGTAATGATTCGATTTAGAAGTAAGTACCCTCATTCTTTTTTTCCAGTGAGTACCTCCCTCTAATAAGTTCACCCACCCCACCACCCTCCCCTTTGATTTGGTTTTGGTTAATAAGTGCCCCTATTCCAATAAGTGTACGTATTCCAATACGTAACCTCTATTCCAATAAGTGCCCCATTCTCTTTCAGTGATAGCAATGTTACGATATGTTCATGCGGGTGCACAGTTCCTTAAAACGGATGATGAAGTCTTCAAATTTTGTGACGTGTGGATGGGGTTGTCGTTCTAGTAAGGAGAGATCAAGAAAAACTAATCTGTTTTACAGTTTCCCTCATCCTTTTTAGATAAACATCAAAGTTTTCTCTGTACATTATGCTGTTTCTCAAAAAAGTTGAAGGAGTGTCCCGTCCCTAATAAGTGCCCTGTTTCGTATAAAGTACCTTAAGTAAATAAGTGCCGCGGGGACTGAGTCGAATCATTACGGCATACATGTTAATGTTACTTTGAATGTCATTGTTTGGTTAACATTGTCACTATTTTTTGCAAGTCTTTTTCATGTTAATTTTGAAGGAAAACTAAAATCAAACTTTTGTGGAATACAGGTATAGACTATTAGTCATTAAGTTAACTTTTCAAATTCACCAGCATGACTGCAGAATAATTTAATTATAGTCTTTTTTTGTTTTTTTTTTTTGTTTTTTGTTTTTTTGTTTTTGTTTTTTTCGCTGTCGCTTTTAATTAGTTGCCCAAAATTGTTATGAAATTTAGAAGAGATGATCAACAGTGAAGGAAGACAGACAACAAAAGATTTGGTGTCAGAGGCTCCGTGATTTCGTTATTTTTGGGAAAAAAAGGGTTTTATTTTCTCGTTTACCTTTTAGATATGTACTTGTGTACAGGTTTTAATGTATTGATTGATTACATGTTCTTTGATAATTGTTCTACACTTTACTATTTAACAATTGGTTCATGCTTTAGCGTGCACTATCGAGTTATGGAAGTTTGGAGAGCACGAAAGAAGCATAAGAGTTGCCCAAGACAATAGCCGAGGACAACTCTAGCTTCTTGAGTGCTCTCCAAACTTCCCACGTGCTCCATAACTCGATAGTGCACAGCTGAAAGCATGAACCAATTGTTTTAGAACATAGCAGGTGGAATTGTGCATCAAATCCGACCGCGAAAAACGGACAACAATATCAATTGAAGCGAATCGTGACGGCGCTGATGCCGAGTCTCCTTTCCCGTTGTTTTTCTCTTTGTCTGCCTCATTTAAGAACTCTAGCCCAAGGGAAAAGGTCCAAAAATTGTCTTCATTTTGGGACTAATAGGCCGAGTCTCTGTTTGTATCCATTATTGTCGCGAAATATATTATTTTTCCCCGAGCTAACAATGGCCGCTATCGCGAAAAAAAAAAWTTTCTGGCGAAGCGATTTGCTGACGCTATCAGCGTGCACTATCGGGATTTTGGGCACGCTTGCGTATACTGAATTTGATTGGACGGCACTGCTAGCTATGTTCTAATTGTTTTTTAACGTTAAGCTCAATTAAGCAGTTATCTTGTTTATTTTCAGTTGCCTAACAGCTGATGCACCTCACATCACTGATGCTTTGATCTGCAGTTAATTCTTGTTCCACTTTTTTTTCTTTTTTTTTTTTTCTTACGGTAGTGACTTTGTTATTCTAGTTAGCTGTGTTAGTACTGTAGCTGCGGATTCACTCTTCCGTATAGAACATTTAACATGTGTTAAAGACGTGTACAAGCAGCGAGACCGAGAGCAGTAATTGGCAAGTGCAATTTGTAGTCGGGATCTAAAACCTTTCAATTCCCTTGAGTGACCAACACGGAATTTCTCCTACATTATCACTACGACGTCAAGCAGAAAAATGAAGAGGTTAAAGAAAAATCCATAATGGAAATGCTTGTTGATCAATTACCAGATTCTTGAAACTAATATCATAACAGTTGCACTAGAGTCAGTAAGAAGAATTAACCGATTAGATCTTGGGAGTGAAATGGCTAGCTGTTTAGTTCTTCAAAAATGCCCTAGAAAGGCGATTCTGAGACTAAGCACCACATACGCGTACTTTGCACATGTACATGTTCATGGATGTCTACAAGATTGTAATAACGATACACCTGGAGTTAGTGCTTATACTGAGGAAATCGTGGCTTTATGTGCAAAGCAGTGCATGTAGTGCTCAAAATCATGGTGAGCATAGCAGAAAATGAATTGTTTATTCAAAACTGATGTAGAGTTTAGATTTGCTCGCTACCTCGATTTGGATGTGTTTATATTTTACCCTGTGCGAGTCGATAAAAGTTTTCTTGACCCAGGTAAATGTCTTTTTTTATGTGATAGTTTCAACTTCATTGGTTCAAAGTACGTTTTTCTACATTAGTTGGAGTTACCTCAAAGGCGAGAAAAGCACAAAAAAAAAAACAGCAACAACAAAAGATACAAACAAAACACAAAATAGGAAAAAAAAAAAAAGAGGAATAAGGAAAAGAATTAAATGGAAGGGAAAAAGAAATGACATGAGCCTGCACATTCTTGTACAATTATCAATACTGACTTTATGGCAGTTTGTAAATATTCGGAAAACACGGAAATACTAACGAGACCTTTCAGACATTACAGCTAGCGATTGTGTTTTTGTACAGCAGTTTGTATTTATTGATTTTGAATATTTCTGTAGAAGATAATGCGATGTTGTGATGTTGGTTACTGAATAGTTAATGCTCCATGACACTTGTTCAAAGCGTTCCTGTCCCCTATAGAATGAAAATAAATTTTTTGCTGCATTTGTACTCTTTTCTGAACAAGTTTTAGCTTTGATAGTCATACCCTGTATTGAGGCGTATCTCGTGTGTTAATCTAATTTACCTTTGGGTGAGATAGCTCCTAATACACTGTTGAGCGAGTGTAGGAGGTGGTGTTACGGTCACGAAATTGACTTTGTAGGAGCTAATGCTGGCCCAAAAAAAAAAAAAAAAAAAATTGAAATACATAAACAAAACAATAAACAAAGCAAAAAAAAAAAAACAGAAAAACCTGGATCGTGGTTAAAGTAGGTAATCCTGTTTGGGTTCGAGTGATATATTTATTTTAAGCTTTCTATGCGTTGGTTCACTGTGGGGTACAAAGCAAACTTGGCTCGTGTAAGTAAAGCCTAAAGACACCTTTGAGCGCTGTTCTGCACTGACGCATTTAAGAAGTGCCATCCTTCTTAGCAGTCACGTCGAACACTCTTCTGTACCTTACTTTGTCGAGGCAGCTCGCAGCGCGAAGTACCCGACTGTATAGGGCATTACTTAGGCATCGCCTAAGCCATTTTCATGTAAGCTCAGACAGACCTGTGATCCAACCGATATGTAATTGACGCTTCAATCGAGTTTGGTTACACTGGTTTAGATTTTACAATTTACCACTAGATTTTATATCGTTGAAACCCCCTAATCTGACTTCCTGACTACGACTGGGCTTCTAAAGAATTGTCGGCAACTTGTGGCAACAATCGATCGAGACTAAGTATTCGAGAAGAATGTTTCTTTCGTCAGACTATCGGAAAGAGTAGTTACAACGGACAAGGCATGCTTAAATGAGATATCCGAATGATAAAACAGCTCTTTCCTCGAATCAGTTTTTTCACTGTCACCTACATCAGTCTTTGAGTCAGAGGCCTACATGCAGATACTCGTATCTTTTAATTGAAAAGATGACACAGGTTTACAATCTGGGTCATGTGGACCTGAGGACAGCAAGCAAACGAATCTACAGGAATCCATTCAAGTCGAGAAACAAACAAAACGAATACAAATAAGGAAAGGTAAAAAACAACGGAAAATAGAACAACCAAATTGCACTAAATTCCGTATGTGTTATTAGGAATAGTCGCCTGGACGATCTCATTTCCTCCAAACCGTTATTCATTGGAAAACAGAAGCGACCTTTCTTCGATCTTTCCCACGTTCTTGGTTCCAAGTGACGGAGCCTCCACAGCATCCTGAGCAAATAAGACTGTTTCGCATTTGCCGTTGCTCATATGGACCCTTACGACTTTCGTTTGTCCTTCTGGCTGCGGGTTATCAAAGAAAAAAAGAATCACCGACGAGGAACCAAGAAGCGTGTTTATGTATCTTCCTCAAATCCTGTTTCTTTATTTTACGGCCAAGAGCGTTCCAGTAGTTTTCAAAGCGACAGGGAAGCGAACGAGTGATGCAGAAGAGGTGATTTTCTGAATTTTTTAGGGAACGGTATCAAAGGGAATCTATTTCAGCTATCGCATGCAGTGATTCCAAGTTCAGTCCAAACTCAATACACCTCAAAGAAACATACTTAGGCTCCAGGCACACTTGAACGTTTTCCAACGTGTCCTTTTTGTCTCCAAGTAAGTGAAGCAAACTATTTTTATCCACAATAGCGCTTTCTTTTTTCTCTGAACTGTTCACACTACTTCGTTCTCATTGAAAAAAAAAAAAAAAAAAACAAGAAGAAAAGGAGAAAAAGAAGAAGAATGTTTACCTTTTTACCACGTTTACAGCGCATGTACCACCAAAGCCCCAAAACACCATTGATGATCACAGTTATTACAACACAAGATGCAGCAACTGCTATCGCAATCTGAACGGTTGAGCTTTGTTGCAGTCTTGAATGTGTACTTGCTGTAAGATACGATTCAAGACGAAAAATCAAACAAAGCTAGAAACTACTTGGCCTACAACCTTCATCGCAGGGATTTCAAATGTTTAAAAAAAAGAAAACAGGCCCATGTGGAATCCAATTCGGTAGGCGATCAATTAATGATAACCAATACAACTTCCGGGAAAAAAAAAAAATGTGTTCAGATCATTGAAAGAGGGGTTGTAATTTCAGCCTTTTGAACATTACAGTTTTAGACAAATACACTGAAAACCTCTAGAAACAGCTTTCTATATTTTGGTAAATTCCCTGCTCTGGATGGTATGCCTACTTTAATCAATTCTGTGTTCCGCGGATTAATTTTATTAAACGTGATGTGATTGGGTGATGGACTTTTCGATCTTGAGTGTCCGATTTCAACCAACTGTGGGCTCACAATACTACAGAATCGTGAAAGCCAAGGCAGTCCATCCACCAATCTTATTTAAGGAAACGACTTGTGTAACCAGGACAGTTTCGGGTGTCACCTGAGTCACACTTGAACGTTCTATTTTAAGTTCGTGTTTGATCATAATTCAAGAATCTAAGTAATACTTTTTCCCGTAATTGAAGACAGCAGGAAGATGTGGGAAGAACGACTTAACAGGGCATTGTAGAGCAAAAAGACCTCGTGTTTAGAGGTTGGACTCGTATTTGAGTCGCAGGAGTTGGACAGCGTAAGTCAGTTATTTTTTAGGGATTTTTTCGTTTTCCATTCTCGTCTGTTCGGTCATTATGTTTATGTAGAACTTAATTTTTTTTAAAATCCTTAGTTCTTTTCCACCGCGTGTCAAGTGATTACGTGTGATTTCAAGAAATCTGAAGTAACTGTCTAAGCGTGACATTTTGGTTTAAACGGTGTTCCCTAGATTGCCCTTCAATCGCAGTCGAGAACGCGACATAGGGTGGGAAATCTTATTATGAAAACTAATTTCGACTTAAACGCATGAAGAATATCGAGGCGAGGCAATCCAAACGTGTAATCAAGTTAAAAATCAGTAGGTTATCTAACAAAACTGAAAAAAGTTTCAAATTGTTTACGCACTGTGTTTTGAGTGCAAATTTATGCGTTTAATTATACGGCCTGCATTTCAACATGAATTGTTCCCTTGATTTGATAACTTGCCTTCCTTTAAGTGTAAAAAAGCCACATTTGACGTCTTCTCTCCTGCACTGTTATTTACAAAGCATTGATATGTGCCTGCATCTTCCTTCGTCGCTTCTGTTATCAGGAGCATGCTGCGGTATTTTGTGTCACTTGAAACAAGAATGGTTTTGAACCTTGGATTGGTTTTTGTAACATTTGGATCATTGTTCTTAATCCATGTAATGTTTGGCTTGGGAAGACCAGTGGCAGTGCAGCTGAAAACTAAGTCGGAACCAACAGAATAAGTTTGACTTCTTGGATGTTCGACTATCTCCGGCTTTCCTGAAATTAAAAGAGAAGAAAAAAGTAAAAATATTATCGGAAAGGTAAGAAAAAATGAATACTAAGTTGAGAGGATATTTCCGAAGGGTAATTAAGGTAAGAAGAGTTAATGTGACCCCGTTCTTTTAAATGTACTCATCATAATTCTTGTTTCCATGAGAATATAGTAGCATTAACCACTAATTATTATATAGCTGGTAGCGCCCGTAGGCAAAATGAAGCGAATCCAGTGCTCTGATTTGCTACCTGAGCGGGCAAGGTGGGGCCATCTTGCCCACTTGGGACTGCCCGCGCAAGAGAAAAACTGCGAGGTGCAGACTTTCAAAGTTCGTAACTTTTAAACAATGTCGGCAACGAAGTCGCAAAAAGCGACAAAGGACAGTCAAAACAAACCGAGCTTCTTAGGTCTGCTGTGCTAATAACACAGTTGGTTTTCTTTCTCAGCTCTCGAAATAAACAAGTCATTTTTTATTCTTATTAAAGCGAAATATTTTTGCTATATAATAAATGCTTTACGTATGATGCACGATCCTTCGCAGTAGATAGCGCTATTTGTGCAATAGCGAAAATCAGACCTGAAAAAAATCAGGCCTGTACGGGATTCGAACCACTGACCTCAGCGATACTAGTGCAGCGCTCTACCAATTGAGCTAACACGCCAACCGGGAGCAGGCCGTTAAGTTGATTCGTAATAAACCCGTGATGATAAATCAGATACAAGGAACATATGAAGTTCATATATTTTGAACTGCGGTATTAAATACGTATGATGCACGATCTGTACAGGCCTGATTTTTTTCAGGTCTGATTTTCGCTATTGCATAAATAGCGCTATCTACTGCGAAGGATCGTGCATCATACGTATTTAATACCGCAGTTCAAAATATATGAACTTCATATGTTCCTTGTATCTGATTTATCATCACGGGTTTATTACGAATCAACTTAACGGCCTGCTCCCGGTTGGCGTGTTAGCTCAATTGGTAGAGCGCTGCACTAGTATCGCTGAGGTCAGTGGTTCGAATCCCGTACAGGCCTGATTTTTTTCAGGTCTGATTTTCGCTATTGCACAAATAGCGCTATCTACTGCGAAGGATCGTGCATCATACGTAAAGCATTTATTATATAGCAAAAATATTTCGCTTTAATAAGAATAAAAAATGACTTGTTTATTTCGAGAGCTGAGAAAGAAAACCAACTGTGTTATTAGCACAGCAGACCTAAGAAGCTCGGTTTGTTTTGACTGTCCTTTGTCGCTTTTTGCGACTTCGTTGCCGACATTGTTTAAAAGTTACGAACTTTGAAAGTCTGC